ATGGATAAGTTTTCGATATCTTTGAAATTTACCGTAATCAGCTTAAAAAAAGAGTAATTCCACTTAATCACGTATGTATTTCTAATCTTTTCATCAAAAATTCTGGAATGATTAATTAATTTCTCAGAAACTATCAGGTCTGTCGAAAAGAGATCTATGTAAATATAAACAGTTTATAGAGAATTTAATTAGCTTTCATTTGCCATACTTCGTATTACAATTGTAAGATAAGTGGAATCACTCATTTTTTTTTAAGCTGCATAACGGTAAAGTACAACTATCTCGTAAACTTATCCATAGAAAAAAAATTAACTCAATTTATGGCCTTATTACGTGTTATTGCACCGCGCCCAGTTAGAAATTTATTTCATCACAGAATATTTATATATCTCTGCTGTTTGGCTTCTTTTGAATACACTGTACATCCGCATACTCATGCATACCAACACCACCACAAACTTGCCTACATATGTACATATATACATTGCACATTCTCTGCACACGTGCTTTTAACAATTCTCGCCTACGCTTAATGCATTCCCATAGTTGTTGTGATATCATTCGCGCGCCCATGTGTGAGTATTTATTTGTGTTTGTCTGTTTGTGAGTCAGCGTTCCGACATGTTTCTATTTCATTGTATTTGGTTGTTCACTGCTTTGGGGCATTCAAATGAAATGACAAATTGTATCCTTTTCATATGCAAACAAATGTATTTGGATTGAAATTCCTCAAAGGATATGCGTAATTTTGTTGTTAGCGTCAGTGCGACAGGAAGACGACGCAAACAATAACTACTACAACTACAAGATACACCACAATCATAATAATCTGAACATCTGCATAGAGTTAAGATCTATATCTGTTGACAGAATAAATCATGTAGAAGCATTGCAAAGACACGTACATACATGCATAAGTAAGTGCATTTTCTGGAAATTCAAATATTCCAAATATTTGAAAAGTGTGCGCTTTTGTAGGAGTAAATATATGCAAATGCAGTTATTTCAAAAATTTACCACTACATACATACATATGTATATACCATATTGAGTTGATTATATCTTCGAATTTGTATTGATAAAGTTAGGGTGCATTCCAAAACGTCAAAATACAAAGCATCAGTCTCCTTTGTTTTTAAACCGCACCAGAGAAAAGTGGAACTTGCGCAACCTACTTGAAAACTTGCATTCAACCGTGGTTGCGTACATTTGGCATTACAATCTACTTAGATTTAAAAATAAAAGAGACTCATGCTTTGTATTTTGACGTTTTAGGAATTTACCCTTTTCTTGAATAGATCTAAATGATTTATAAAGATAATAAATATTTACTTCATTGCATGTCATAGAGATTTCGGATAATTTTACAGCAAGAAATAAGATTAATTCCATACAAATGCAAATGATATACAAAAATATATATGCACCTCAAAAAAACATAAAAATATAAAATATCCGCGCAAAACCCGCGAAAATTTAGCAAATTTTCACCAAAATTTTTAACTTGTTAATCAGATTTTTTAGATATTTTTTGAGTATGCAGTTTTGCAGCCCTTTAAATTCTATTAAAAAAAAATCCAAGTTCGGAGTTAGTCAAAAATCGCGTTGATTTTTGAGAATTTTTTTGTTGAAGGTGTTTTAAATTTTTTGCAACTAAAGTATTTTCGAAAAAAACCTTGCACTTTGTTATAATATAATTGATTTGGTTACAAATCTGCGTACTGATTAAAAAGTTGAAAATTTGCT